ATATATTGATACGTAGATAAACTCTGTAAGTCGGCCATGAATGGCTGGGCGTGATGGACTGACTTATTGAGAGAGCCGACTTATCAAGAACACGTGATTTTAAATTTTTAGTATCAAATTAGTTCTTGTTATCAGGTAGTTCCGACGTATTACTGGCAGAAATAAAAATTTTTTTTCTTTAATTCAAATATATTCTTATTATTAAACAATAAACTGATTGTATCACATGATTATAATATAAAGTTGCAAAAATAAGTTTGTTTATTTCTGCCAGTGATTAGATTACATAGGACCTGCCTGATAATTCATAATTATAAGGATTTTATAAATGTAAACGGGGCAAAAACAATATTTATTGCATTGATTTTTATACAAGTTTTTTGGAAGATCGTGAAATCAACCTTTTATACATACAAATATAATAAAAACATAGATATCATTGTTCACGATGCAAAAAAGAAATAGTGTCAAATGGAATAATAAATGATGCAATTAATGATATAACTTAAAATACAAATGATAAAAAAAGAAACGTTTTTTCTTAGATAATAATGATATAACTAACAAGATAATAATATGTTCACGATATGGTTTTTCTGAGATAATAAATGATACAATCAATGAACAATTTTTTGACACGTTACTAAAAATAGTAATGATGATCTCTCACTCAATGCAAATATCACGTGATACCGACTTATTGAGAGTAATTTACATATACTAATACCCTAGAAGAAGGGTTGGCCGGCTTACAGTTTATCGCGATTTTTATATAGAATGACCGACTTATCAAGAGATCGACTTATCGAGTTTACCTATGGTATTACAGATTAACATTATCAAATTTAGTCGGGGAGACCCTAAGGTGGTTTTTGCTAATCCACCCAGTTTCGAAAATACTCTGCCCTTCAAAAATTTTATGCATTTTTTCTTTTGCTTCTTGGTGCTGGAATGATGGCTTTGATTGGTGTGTTTATTTATGATTTTTTTATTGTAATGTTTACATAATTTTAACTCTAATATCAATCTTAAATATTTAGGTTATTGGGCATAAATCTTTCAATTCTTGCTTTTTTTGGTTTTTTTTTTCCTTCGTGCCATAAATTAATTAAATTAATTAAAATTATGCATTTAAATTTTAAGTTATTATGTCATTTCATTTTTCTTTCTTTGAAATAAAGTAAATATCACTCAACCGTAAAAAATAATAAATTAATCTTCATGTACAGTGCAGGATACCTAGTTGCCAAACTTTTATTGATTTTCTAATCCCTCCAAAAAAATAGAAAAATGATAAAACTAATTGATGTTATTTTATTGTAGGTTTAATTTAATATTTAATCAATTGCTACAATTAACATTAATTTTTTTACTTTTTTTAAAAAAAAAAAAAGGTATATTTTTATTGAACTTTTTGTGGCGTGTGATGAATTGAGTTGCGCATTAATTACAAAAGAAAAACAACTATTCCAACAAAATTTATCATTTAGTCGTTTACTTTAAAAATATTTTTAAAAGATTAATTGATGAAGAACTAGATAAGGATTTCAAAAATCAACACAAAAAGATGATTTGAATTTAAAAGAAATTTTTACTTGGATATTGATGAAATTGATTTTAAAGAATTAAAGAGTATAATTTCAACACTACTATTGAGAACTTATCAACAAAAATTGTGCCATATTCCCGTTTAATTCCTAACGAGGAGTTTATTGTCACAAAGAAAACA